AAGATAGCAAAGTATGTCACCTGTATGTGTTTCCCCTAGTGGTTTATGTTAATATCTGAAGGAGCTGTGCCTTGCCTTACAGTCGCTTTAGACTGACTGACCAAATCACCTCCTGAATGCATGGGTCTGTAAGGTTTTTGTATTCTCCCAGTGTTTTTGTAGGACTGGGATGCATAATCCCTGCCAACAAAGAGGGTGCCCTAAAAGCTGGTTAGGCTTGGGCCCCCCTGTGTGGGATAGGGACTTAATCCCTTCTTACTTCTGCACTTTGGAAGGGAGATGTAGTCTTTTTTTTCCTATTCGTATGAGTTCCCTCTTTACCAAGCTGTAATTGGAGGCTTGTTCTCCCTTTCAAAGAGATCCCCTTGGGATTTGATGCTTCAGAAACCTGTTTATTGTAGGCATCTGTTGCAATTTGCTCTTCACAGCCGTCATTTCATTTCAAATAATGTACAGCAACCTCCTGCCGGGGTGTGAACAAATGGACCATAGTGATGTGCTTGCATGGAGCCAACCAGACCTTGCTGCTCCTCACACCTCGAGTGAAATGATGACATGGCTCAACGCCACCGCCGGCACAGCTGGTGCCATGGGAGACCTGGTAGTGACGGGGATATATGGCTCTGCCAAGCCCTCAGAAATAAGGTCTTCTTTCCTCCTAAACAGGATCATTTCCCCATCATCTCATGTGTGTTCCTGCCCAAACCCATTTCCATTCCCTCCAGCCCTTTCAGCTTCATGTTCACTTTCTCTTGAACCTATCTGAAAGCCCCTTTGTTTTCCTTTTTGCTGTGTTGTCCATGATGCTGTTGGATGTGGCTTGATAGGATACGTGTCTCTGAACCATGCGTACTACAATAGCAGAGAAGATGGTAGTGAAGGATGCTAATTTACTCTCTTCAGTGGTTGGAACCTTTATCTGACAAGTGATGTCTTGCCTTGTCAGTGAGCTCTAGCTTGTGTCTTTGTCTGGATTTAGAAAAGTAATTTATGGGCTCCAAATTACTTGGTTTTACCATCATTTTGCTCAATATTGAAAGGATAATTCATCAGCAGACATGCTTGTCTTGTGTCTGCTGGTTATAAACCATGAAATACCTTTTTCTCTATTAGTTTGGTCAGGCTTGCTTGCTTTTTGAATATCAGTCTTTTTTGGACTATTTGTTTGACACACAGCAGGGTGTACATTGATGTCTCGGAGCTCTTGATGCTTGTGTCTTCTGTTCTGTATGTAAGATCCACATGGTCTGCTTTTTAATTTCACAGGATACGCATTTTTCCCTTTACACACTAAAAAAAGAGCTCATTGTGTCACTCAAATACTGTTTTACAGACTTTCAGCATGTTTACCCTGGTACTTCAATGGGGATTTTCAGAGGAGCTGTCAAAAGTAACGGGTGATCCATCAATATAAAGAAACATTGGTATTTTATAGTCTATTCTCAAGGTTCGTGTTTGTATTTTTGTTTCTGGCTTCTGCTGGACCTTTGTTCTATTGCAAGTTAAAGCATTACTAACAGCAAGGAGTGCTGTGTTCCCCTAAGAATAATAAACTGAGGTTAAATCATTCTGCTTTGCCTCGTGTCTACTGTCTCAGGCGTATCGTGGCAGTTAGTATAAACTGATGGTGGCCTTTCTGAACAGCTCTATACTTTTATCCCAGTGATCTGGCAACACTTTGAATCCTTCCGTGTTATCAGGGAGCCCAAAAGAGCCTAAAACCAAGAAGATCCAATGGAACAATAAGTTGCATCTTCCCAACAGTTCCTCCCCGGCTTTTTTGCTCGGTAGGTCTCCTTGTCCATGCTGTTTGCTGATGTATCCCCATGTTGGTGTCCTCTTGAGCACTAGTTCTTTGCTTAGCTGCTTAGCCTAGAGGTAGCCCTACCCCAAGGTTTTCGTGCTGCTTGCTAGCTCTGGGTAATTCATCCAAGATACCTGATTCCTCATTAGGGCAAGCGTTCAAGTTCTCTGTCATATCACAGTCATGGCTCCGGTGTGGTATTTGGCTATACAAAGCCATAAGTAACTGCCTGGTTTGCAGAGATGAAATGATGGATAAATGCCAGGAGCTTTAATGAGGATCTGTGCTTTCTGATGGCCCTGTCAAGGAGCTGGACGATGGGACTGGGCCTACCCTCAGAAGTCTGCAGATGACACCAAGTTGGGCAGGAGCATTGATCTGCTGGAGAGGAGGAGGTTCTACAGAGGGATCGGGACAGGTTAGATCAATGGGTGAATGCCAATTGCATGGGTTGTTTAGCCTGGAGAAAAGGAGGCTCGGGGGGGACCTTCTTGCTTTCTACAGCTACCTGAAAGGAGGTTGTAGGGAGGTGAGGTCTGTCTATTCTCCGAGGTTACAAGCAATAGGACAGAGGAAACAGACTCAAGCTGCACCAGGGGAGGTTTAGGTTGGATATTAGGGAAAAGTTATCCACTGAAAGGGTTGTCAAGCACTGGAACAAGCTGCCCAGGGCAGTGGTGGAGTCACCATCCCTGAGGGTATTTAGAGGATGTGTAGATGTGGCACTTAGGGACATGGTTTAGTGGTGGGCTTGGCAGTGCTGGAGTAACAGTGGGGCTCGATGATTGTAAAGGTTTTTTCCAACCTGAACGATTCTGTTCTGAAGAGCAGCAGAAAATCATGAGGGTTCCTTGGAAACGAGTCCCAGGAGCGATGCAGCTGATGCCAGCAGCACCTGGATTTAAGCTGTGTGTCAGATGGTCCCTGGGGTCTGCTGCTGCTGGGGAGCAGATGTTGGGAAGCAGGGAGAAGCAGTTGCATTTCTTCCAGACATGTGTCAACGCATCCCAGGTTGTGTGTGGCTGGAGAGGTTTCACATCTCCTACTGTGCAAGAGAGTCATCTACTGAGGTTGTGACAGATGAGCTCTTGGCCATGACCAGAACCTTTCATGGACCTGGATGGTCACTTGCTGAATGTGGACTGGAGGGGATGGAGCAACATCCCTTCCTTTTCCAAGTCACAATTGGTTTTCTCTTGCTGGGATTGGGTCCCAGACATGCAGCCTTGGGCCCTGTCACTTTACATCTTGTTTGCTGGATAATCATGCCCTAACTGAAGGTTTTACACTTCAATTTTTACAGCTGCAAAGGGCCATATAAAAAGCCCAATAAAATTGCCTGCATGTATTTGGCTGAAGCCTGCACTGGCTTCAGCAGCATCTAAATCCTTAATCAGCATTTACATTGCGTGCTTGCACTCAAGATAAACTTGCCTGTTTTCCCTTCGTTCTCCCTAATGCAGGTTTTGTTCTTGCTGTATTTTTAACTATCCTAATTAGAAACTGTTGACTTCTGCCTTCAAAGCTTATCTGGGCAAACCCATCTACGGGGCACTGGCTGCTGACACTGGCTTGCTGTTGCGCAGCTTATCTTTCCAGCTTGAGTGGTTTAATAGGTCAAGTATTAAAATGAGATTTTCACTTGGATATAAATTATTTTTTAAAGGGCATATTCCCCCCCCCCAGCAAATGTTTTATGTTCTCTGCAGCCTTTTTTGCTCTGATTGAAAGTTTTAAACTTGGATGCGATTTCTGACTTCTCTGATCCCACCCGCTTCCCTCATGCTGTAATTCTAAGGCATGTGTCAATATTTGAGGGGAATAAATTGCTGATGACTCCAGCTTCTGTGTAGTCTTATGAGTCATTGTGGGGTCATATGAGCTCAGCAACTGCGTTAGTGACTTGTGATTCCCGGTGGGAGCACAGCCAGCAGCAGTGTGTGCTGTCGGTGGTGGGATCCCTTCCCTCTGAATATTCATTTCTGATGTTTGCTGGTTGCTTCCCGATTGCAGAGCCCAGACTCTCTGGCTCTGAGCCATTTTATCCTCTTTTAGTACAGTAGGAAGTTCTGCACATCTACATGTCCCTGGTCTGTCAGTGCAAGCCATAGGAGGGACTCGTGGTTTAGTCTTTCGTTTTCCATATGTTCTTCCACTTTGGGGGAAGGCTGAGCAAGAGCATCAGTGACCAAAATCATCAGTGCCACTGCCATCAAAGGTGTCACATCTCTGCTGCCCCACTAAGATTCATCCTCCTTGAAATCCATGTCCCCCCCATTGGAAAACCATGTCCATCCCACTTGGAAACCTGTGGCAAGCCCTGCTTTACAGAGCTGGTGGTGGCCAGGGAGCCCCCAGCTGGGCTTTGCCCAGTTTCTTTCAAGGGACAGGCCAAAATGGGACTAAAGAGGAGCAAAAGTGGTGAAGGAAATCTTTCCTCATTTGTCCACGTGCTTTTAACTCTTTATTAGTTGCCAAATAGTAGCAGAGTGAGAAGTTCATGGGAATTTGTGTTGTCATTGTGTTGGGAGAGCGCAGGCATCGTTCACATTGCTCCCTTTGGGTGGGAAGCAGTGAGTGAGATGGGCTTTGGACAAGGGCCTGTAGGGACAGGCCAAGGGGAATGGCTTGAACCTGCCAGAGGGGAGACTGAGCTGAGCTCTTAGGCAGAAGCTCTTCCCTGTGAGGGTGCTGAGGCGCTGGCACAGGGTGCCCAGAGAAGCTGTGGCTGCCCCATCCCTGGCAGTGCTCAAGGCCAGGTTGGACACAGGGGCTTGGAGCAAGCTGCTCCAGTGGAAGGGGTCCCTGCCTGTGGCAGGGGTTGGAGCTGGATCAGCTTTAAGGTCCCTTCCACCCAAACCAGTCTGTGGTTCTATGATTCTGTGAATTGCATTATATTTTAGTACAAGCTCCATCACAACGTGTACACGTGCTTCTTGGGGACTCAACGTGATACGGCTCTGGTGAGCTGCTGAAGGCATTTGTTCACTGCTGTAAACCACCTTTCCTTTCTTCCATCTTTTCTCTCAGGAGAACACCATATGCTAAATGATCAGACTAGGTTAGATTTACCTGCAGACATTTCCCTTGGAGCTGTGGTGTGTGGCTGTTTCTCATCACTCCGCCCTTTTTCATGTGGGAATAGGAGTTGATTATATGGAACATATTATGTTATTTCTGTTTTGTCTCCTCGCAGGTGTTTACAAAATATGGGAAATGCTACATGTTTAACTCAGGAGAAGAAGGACGGCCTCTTCTTACCACAGTTAAGGGTGGGACAGGCAATGGACTGGAAATCATGCTAGACATACAGCAGGACGAATATTTGCCCATATGGGGAGAAACAGGTAAGACCTTCTTTTTCCTCCTGCAAACATGCATGTATTGGTGATTTTTGCTGAAAGACCATCCCATCCCATCCCATCCTTCCCAGGCAATATCTAAACCAGCTCTTGAAAGCAAGAGGAGCTCAGTCTGTACAGAAACCAGTTGTTTTGCAGTGTCTGTAGCTGCCACTTGGGACCAGCCTTTCTATAGTTCAGCTCATCAGTGAGTGCTGGACTTGGGTGTCTCAGCATCAACGTTTGAGTGTCACCACCTCTCCTGGGACCAGGGTGGCTGCTTGTGTGTGACAGGAGGTGTAGTGCCTCTTTCAGATGCTCCAACATCTCCCTCTTCCCTAGAAGGGGACTTTGGAGGCCTTGTTCAAGGTCAAACTGTTTGTGTTTTCCTCCTCCTTGGAACCTGGGGACATTTGTTGCCCTGACTGTTGTCTTTGTGTGGGTTGCTTTATGGTTGGCTCATTGCACTTGGAGGATGTGGGATGAACGGCACCTTCCTTTAATGAACCCAACTAAGCTGAGCATCTTCTGAAGAGCCAGCATGCTGCACTGCAGCCCCCTCTAGTCCTGGCACAGAGAAGGGCAGAAGGTGCTGATTGGAAGGGCTGTGGCTGTCTTGCAGCTCATGGGTTGGGATGGCAGCACTCGGAATGAACACAGAAATGCTGTCTCCTGCAAGGGCAGCTCAGCAGCTCCCATCATCTGAACCCTGAATGATGGTAGAAGTTGCTGGCACTGCTGGTACCAGTTCCCTTAATGAATCCTGCTGCCAAAACAGAGGCTTGGCTCTACAAGGGGGTGACATGGGCAGGGGACAGCATGAGGAGGGACATGTACCACCAAAGGCACCCAGCGGTGCTGCACTCTTCATGGATCTGTGTTGGCATTTGAAGCAAAACAGCCCCAAAAGGGTTGGAAAACTTGCCAGCAGCTCCATTCCTCTGGCAGTTGCAGGCAGAACATTGTGGTGGGAGTTATTTGTTTATTATGGGGTGTCAGAAAAGGGAGAGGAGCAATTACCCCTTAAGGTTTTATGTCATCGTTGCACCGTCATCGTGTGCAAACGAGTCTCTTCAAGCACCTTCTTCTCAACAGTGAAGAGGAGAGTTGGCTGCCTTCATTCAGAACTTACAATGTATTTGTGTGGTGGTTGATGCTGACAATTTAAACAGATTCCCATGGTACCATCAATCATTTCAAATTGCACAGGCTTTTATAGCAAGGGCTTTGCCTTCCAGTGCTTAGCTCGTACTCAGAATCAGCCTGATGTGGCCCAGGTGAGGAGGAGGAGAGAGTGATTTGGAATAATCATTTCTGACTCGTAGCATTTGTTTGAAGTCTTGTCCTTGTAAAGGCAAACCAGGTTCTCAGTAAAGAGTGGGAAGATGAAGTGCATTTTCTACCTCCGATGCTTTATTGCTTACAGGCTGCCTTGGGGGAGCTCATGGGGGCAGGAAAACCACCACATTGATGGCCTGGGGATGTAGCAGGCTTGGACAGCCACACTATGAGCTCTCTGTGTTCAACCTTGTCGGGTTTTGGATTGCCCATAAGGTTCCCCATGGAGGCACAGACCCTGTGGCACACTGTTCTCACTGCAGGCCTGCTTTATTCTGAGGAATTCTTCACTGTGAGGGTGGTGAAGGGCTGCCCCATCCCTGGCAGTGTTCAAGGCCAGGTTGGACACAGGGGCTTGGAGCAAGCTGCTCCAGTGGAAGGGGTCCCTGCCTGTGGCAGGGGTTGGAGCTGGATGAGCTTTAAGGTCCCTTCAACACAAACCAGCCTATGATGATTCCGTGAATCTTTAGGAAGAACCCATCCAGGAATGTGCTGCCTTTAGAGCTGTGCTTTTCTATCACTGCTGTTCTGAGAAGGTCTCAGCTGGGTGAACCAGATGCTCGTTATACAGGAGGCAAAAAAGAAAAGGTATTAAGGAAGCAAATGGGGAACTGAAGTGTGAGGTTAAAAGGTGAATCAGGAAGATCAGCCAGGTCTTGTTGTTGCCATCTGGCAGGAGAGCCTGTGGCAATGGGGAGGAGGTTTCCAGTCTGGTACCCCTGTGTCTGTGAGCATCACTGTCATCCAGAGGTTAGGTGGGATGGCAGCTCCTGCTCTGGTCATATTCATCAGGCAGCTTTCAAGCCCTGCATGTGGCAAAGGAGCTTGAAACCTGGCCATGGCTGAGGGCGTGAAACCTGAGAGGGGAGGAAACAACCCCGAGTGCATTCATTTTTCCAGAATCTTGTGCTTTTTAGAGTCTTTTAAGCTCCAGCTTGATTTTTGACCACACATGGAAGGGAGAAATGTGCCTCTTTGATTTTCAAGAGGCCCCTAATGGTGTCCTGCCCCCATACGGCCTCACCACTGCTAATCTCATTCGTATTTAAGTTAAATTTATGCTCAGGTAAAGACTGAGGCATAGAGAGGGATTCTCATGCCTCTAGAACTGGGTTGATATTATGGGGCTAGTTGTTAAGGTCTTTGTCTGATCGTGAAATGCTGTAGGATTCAAGGTGGAACGATGTAAATAGGACTGTTGATTCAGTTAAATGGTGTAGGACAAGCTCCTGGACTCGTTGCAAGCAAACTTGGCCATGTTCTTACAGGTCTAGGTAGAACTGGTACTTGATTGCGAAGTTCATAAAACATTAACCTTTGCCTTTCAATAAGGGACTCTTTCATCCTCCACGTTCATACAGCGCCTTGTACAAGCTCTCTTCAATCTTCATTGAGCTGTCTGGACAGTACCAGAATGAAAACATTAACTATAGTGGTTAATACTTGCTGTTCCCATGGAAACACTTAACTCAGCTTTGTAGGTAAGTGAGGGAGTTGATTATTTCCAAATATTTGCATAAGAATGTAAATGTGTTTGGAATTAAATCCCCTCAGCTGCTTCCACTGGGACTGCGCCGGTTTGGCTCTCCAGTGGAAAGCTTTAGCAAGGACACACAGCTCTTAATAGTGAACTTCAGCCCTGGCTATGGACAGGGATGAGGAGGGCATGGGGTGAGATCTTCACGGTGCAGTACACATGTAGGCATGGGGAGGTTAGCCATTAGGATGCCTTCAGGATGGAAGGAGTTAGTTTTTTCTTCCCAGTGAGTTAGTATCTCCATTATAACCTGAACTATTCCGTTGCAGATATTTCTACAGCCCAGTTTTGCTGCTCCTCTTTCCCCACTTGCTGTACCCAGCAACTGCTCTTTTAGTGGCCTTTTAGGCAATGATTTTTATGTGGTTGAGTTATTTGACCTTCTTTTCCTCAGTTTCCGACTTCCGCATCATCCCTCAGACGTGGATACTCAAACCCTACTCAAAAACCAAACTTTTCCCAGCTGGCTGTCCCATGTTAGTCTAAGTTCTCCCAGAACTATCTGGAGCTGCCCCCACTGAGCTGCTGTCTCAGACATGGTGTTTGTACCCCCTTAGGGCTTCAGAAATGCTGATTCCATCACCAGAGAGAGGTCTTCACATGGAAAAATATGCTTTTCTTTGGCCTGTTATGATGGCCTTGGCTCGTGCTTCCTGCAAGGGAAAACAGCCACCCAAAGAACCATCCAGGTTCTAGTTCACTGCCTCTTCATCCCAGCCATGGCCACAACATCTTCCTCCTGCACCCCAGGATGCTCAGGTCCTCAGAGCAGTTGTGGTTCTGTTGGATGCAGGACTGATTCTTACTAATGCCAGGCCCAAATGGTGACATCCAACTCTGTGCTTAGTCCCGCAGCTGCTTCTCTTTTTGCTCCAGATTTGGAGATGCCATAAAACCACGTTCTCCTTCAGAGCCCCAAAACCTCCTCATTTGCTGCCTCGGGATCCTGTCCTTTGCAATTCAAATAAGCTAAGAAGGAAAATATTGGTTCGTAGCTTGGGTTATGGCTGCTCAGGAGCTGCTGCCACCGTGTCACATGGGCATATGCTTTGTAATCTAAAAAGTGATTTAATTGTTACTGGCTCAGCAAACAAAATGAAGTGCATTGTCAGTTTGAAAAGGCCTTTTCTGGGTGTCCATTAATATCTTGGGAAGATGAAATGTCTTCTCTAACAAGTTACTTGTAATAGGAAAATATACCTCTAGCTTGACTGTCTGCATATGCAAGCCCGTTATTTGAACATGTTAAATTTATGTGCAGTCTAATTTTGGAATAGCGAGTGTACACAGACTGCTTCAGTCTTGAATTTCAAGTGCAAAGAACAGGGTATTTTGACTGTATCTGGATGGCATGGCATCAGGCAGCTTTGCCATCGTTGGGGGTGCAAAAATATTGTGTCAGGACTGTCAAAATCCTGGGAAAAATAGGATGGTACAAAGAAAAAGAGATGGAAATCTTGTCTTTTGAGTTTTGCACTGCTGGGATTTGTATTTTCTAGGATTGTGCTTTAGCTGTGAGCTCGCTACATATGGAAAGAGTTGAGGAAATAAGTTCTGGCTGAAGTCTTCGCATCACCTTTGTGTTTTAAAGAAAGCCTTAAATGTTCCAGCTGGGAATCATGATGCAAACAGCCCCCAAACATAGCAATACTGCAGGAAGTTCAGTTGAAGATGGAAAAAACTGATAGCAGGGAAAACTCCTTCCAGGAACTGAGAGGGAAAAGGCAAACCACAGACTCAGAGCAGCGTAGGTGGGAGCCATACATATGGCTCGGAGTCTCCCAAATTCCATGGTTACGCATCTTTGTCTCGCAGGATGAGGCACCGGCGTGTGGCAGGGCTGTGGAGGGGGGTTGCTTTATTGCACTTGATAGGGAAAGTGGCAGGAATGCCATCAAATAGAGAAAAGAAACTAATTTATAGTGGCAGCTATTTGATTGCAAAGGGAATCCACTTGGGGTTAATCTTTCTGGAGTGGTCCATGGTATTATATAGTGACCTCATACAGCAGCACAGTAAATTGAAAGCCACTCAGGCTACAGGGCTGTAAATAAGAAATACAGTCAAGAGTTCTGCATCTGTGTTTCAGGAATTGTTGGGTAACGATGAGCATTTCATACCAATTAACCAA